GTGTTCCAAAAGTGCATCAACCAGGCCGCGCTTAGTATAGTCAGAAGCTCATTTTTTCTGTGTGATAGGGCCCATATGCAAGTATGTGAGAAAACCAAAACACATCAGGGCCCTAAGAAGGAACGGGTCGCATTAGGTCTGTTTATTCAAGCGTTTGCGTATGGGCTGTGAGAGCATCAGCGGGGACCAAGTCTCCTCCTTGGTTTCCTGTTTATTTGACCGCTACAATTGCAGTACCCGAATGCTTCACAGGTTGCAGAGAAAAGGAATAGTGTTATCTCTGTCTCTGTGCAGCCCGCTGACAGAAGCAGCCTGTTTGGCTGGCTGACTCATTCCCTTTGGGATGCACACTCGGCATCTAACCCGAGTGGCTTGGTGAAGGCACTGACCATCACTGACAGGAAAGCTTTTGGTGGCACTTCAACCTGCTCAGGTCCAGGAGCCATCTGAGGGACACTCCGGGTCTGGCCAATGGTTATGCTGGTCCCTCTGTAGGCGAAGGTTGGATGATGTTGCTCATCACAAGCAGTGTTGGTTCTGCCTGTGGGGAGCAGTGTGGGGCTGTAGGTGTTCCTTACTGGAGCAGTCTCCCCTTTTGTGTTTGGGAGCTACCTGGTGAGGGGAAGTAGTCTCTGTGTGGATTCAGGTGTAATCCTTGTGGGATTTGGGACCTGCCAAAGAGCTCAACCCGTGATCCCCAGTGCACTGTTTGCTTGGGTTTGTCTCTTCTCCCCCAGCATCCCTGTCCACATGCTCCCACTCCACTTTATGCACAGCAGTTTTCTGAGGGAAAAAAATCTTAACAGGTCACTGGTGCTGGGCTCAGTGAAGCAGACGAGGGTGGTTGATTCTGCACACGCAGGAGGATCCGATTTGCCTGTGCCTTTCCCAGGAGTGTGGACAGCTTCCCCACAGCTGCCAGGCAGAGCTGTGGCACAGGAGCTGCTGGCACTGCTGCTCCGTGACCTGATGCTCTCCCTCTCCCCTCAGCCCTTGCCCCACTCCACGGCCCGGCTCGTTGGGTTGCTCTTTAATGTGACTTTCATGTGGCTCCGCGTTACAGTGCTTCAGTTACCGAACTGGCTCCGTTTCTTTTTCCTCCTGCGATCTGGAGTTTGCTGCAGTTTCTTCCTGATTGCAAAAGCCGTTGGAAATGGGCAGAATCATAAAAGCTTATCAGTGAGCAGTAACTCTCTCCTTGTGCTCCCCAGCTCTGTTAGGCGTTTATTCACTCCAGCGAGTTGTAACTCAGCGCAACAACTCGTGTTGCCACATCAGTCCTTCTTTATTTACGCCAAACACCACTTTCCCTCTCTCCTGCCCTCAGTCCCCGAGTTCCACGGCTCCAGAGCTGTGCAGCCGGGCGGTGGCAGCACTCCATCTCCCGGGGGAGCTGGGGCTGGCCTCGAGTAGCACCGGGAACAGGAACTCCGAGGTTACTTGCTGCTTGGAAAATGCCTTGCAAGTGTTTGGTGCTGCAGCGCAGAGACCTGCGGAAAGATTTCCTGATGTGAGGAGCAAAACAAATGCTGGCAGATGAATGCAGCCGTTAGGAAGTCCAGGATCCCTGTTAGTACTAAGCTGGTCTTGTTCTTTCCGAGTAGTCTGGCGGAATATTTCTGTGAGCTGGTGCTCTGCAGATCCGAGTTGCTGCTGTGCCGGGTAGGCTGTGTGTGACTCTCGTTCAAACCCTATTGACACATAACATCATGTCTAAAAATATTTGGCACCGATCTAATCATTGGCCCGGAGAGGCCAGTTACTCAAGCAGCTCGTGTTTTTTCACTGGAGTGTATTCTGTCAGATCTAGACCCTGAAAATAGAAACCCAGTTTTTTTTTGATTTTTTTTTTTTTAGATTTGTTTGCAGAATGTTCAGTAGCAGTCACGAGGATGTGAATCTAGATGAGAAGTGCCTGAATGTCCCTTTACTTATGACAAAGAGCTGGTAAACCAGATGTAACTGAAGGCATATCTCCTTTCAGAGGCCCTAAAATTATTTCCACCCTTTTTTCTCTCCATATATCCTTTCATGGGATGGTGACAATACCTGGTCTTGCTGAGGTGCTTCACTGACAGGACTCTGCCAGTTTTCTCCTAAAGACCCAACTGAAGATTTTCTTGTTGTTTCACGTGATTTTTTTTTTTTTTTGGTAAAGTTTCTGCAACTCCCATTTCATGGTATTTGAAGAATTCCAGGGGGCTGAGACAGTTTCCCCGTGCAAATTGGTAAAGGATGTTTTCTTGCTAGATTTTGGCCCGCAGAAATGCTGTGTTAATCTGAGAAGGGCAGAAAAGACCAAGTCAAGGAGGGTGACGCTTGGAGTCTAATCACCAAACTCCTGCGGATTAGAGCTGGGGCGCCGTGCCAAGGCAACACAAGCTCTATTCCTGGCCCTTTAAAACCCCCCAGCTCCTTCAGATCCGTGTTTCAGGGAAAGCACCAGCCTTGCAGTGTGTCCTAAGCAGTTTTCCAACCCTCTGGGGCTAGAGAGCCTGGCTGTTAAATGCGATAAACCCATTCCAGGTGCCGTTCCTGGGAGCGAGGGGGCCATTCCCGCTGCTGTGGGTGCTCGGTGCCCGGCAGGGTGACACTGGGAGGATGCTCTGATGTTGTGGGCAGGTTGAGCAGACATTTCAGCAAGGGGATGGCACCTGTGAACTCTCAGCACCGTACCCCTCGCAGGCAGTGGAAATTGCTCCCTTCCTTTCCCTTTTTCCCCTCTACCAGACGGTAGATTCTCAGTTGCCCCATGCCTGGGCTGATGCTGCCTATGACAGTGGAACTGGCCTTGGGAGACAGTGTTTGGGAGGGCTGTGGAATACACAGGTGCATTATACATATGTGTCCCCTGCATATGTGTCCATGCTCGGGGAACAGAGGTGAATCCCGGGGTAAGAACAGACTTAACTTGGGAATAAAGCGCCTGCGGTTTGTGTTGTGTCTGGAAATCCAGTCCCATCTGTTCCAGATGTTTCCAGTTGTGTTTATAGCAAGCTGCTACTGTGCTACTTTGTGGGAAAAAATGATTAAAAAAAAAATAAAAAATTGGGTTGTGCCTTCACAACCGTTGCAAACAGGCAGGGGCATCCATGGAATATGTTCCCTTTTGTTGCCTCAGAAAAGATGCATAAATAGTCTTGAATAATTGAGTGAAGAGCTGGAGCTTTTCAGGGGAGGCTGGTGTGTGCCTGAGTGCTGGCTTGGCGTGCTGTGCTGGCAGGGAGCACGTCCCACCCCTCCGTGCCCAGCAGCAGCTGCTTGGGGAATGGCACCTTTCCTAGCTCGGGGAAATTTCTGCTGGAAATCCTCTGGCTTCTGGGATTCGGGCAGGAGCAGCCTGTGCGAAGGGGAGCTGGGTGTGGACTGGACCTAAACCTGAGGGCTGGTGCTCACATATGGTTTTGGGTACGGTGCTTTATTATTCGTTGCCATCCAGTAATCCAAATGAAAAATGTGTATTTCCATGGGCTTTGGTAGTGGGTTTGAATCTGACCCATTTTTCTTCACTGTTTTTTTTATCTGTGACAGATTTGAGACTTGTTTTTGGGAGTTCAGCTGCAGACTGAGAGCCAAGGATGAGACCAGTGGTGGGTTAGTAAAGGCACTTAGGGTGGAGGAAAACTTGGCAGAGGTGGCTCAGAGCTACTGCTCAGAAAACGGGACTCTGGTGCTTTCTTTTGTGATTGAGTTTTATTTTTTATCTTTTATTTTTTACTTTCTATTCAAGTAGGTGTTGGCATGCAAGTTAGACACCCTAAGGCATTCTGCTTTCTTGGTATTCATCTGTTCAGGTTTTACACTCGTGAATTTGAATATTCTCTTAAAACAATCGTAAAATTAAATGTTTGCTACTACTGCTTTTGGAGGATCTTGCAAGGAAGCAATATGGATGGGAAGAAGTTTTGAAGGCCTTGTCTCTTTCTGGATTGAGTTTGTCTCTATTCTACCAAGGGAATATAAGGAAAGGGTGTTTTATGCCCGTTTTTTGGTAGGAAAACAGGTTACCATCCCAGTTGTATTTGCATAGAAAGCTCCCCCAGCGACTGCCCAGCAGTGAGCAGCAAATGTGTGCTTAGCCTCTAAGGAGATTATTTAACACAGCTCCAATTTGTTTTTTTATTATTATTTTATTATTTTTGTGTTTGCTTGTCAAGAGTGGATTTGCAGATGTACCCTTGGAGAGTGGGCAGGGTCTGATTTTGTGAGGAAAACAGCAGCAGGAGCTCTGGGCAGCGCTGCAGGAGCACAGCAATGGCCGAGGCGTGGAATTAGGAGTCTCTGTTGTCCACAGAAACGGATCAGAGGTGGAGGGAAGAGGGGAGGGGAAGGAAGGGCAACTACTAAAACCCTTCCCCAAATGGATGAATGAATGGGTGACACACATAAATGACTGCTGTGATGGTCTGACTTACTGTAGCTCGGTCTCGGGATAATCCTCATATGTCAGATTTCTGTAAGGCCAGCATGTGACACAAAGCTGGGCTCCCAGCAGACAAGTGTGCTGTGCTGGTATTAAGGGGCTGGCCGGGGCCGGGCTGTGCAGTGGAACGTGTATCCGTGTGCGGGGTGCCTGCTCGCCTCCGGACGCGGCCCAGCCGCTGCCGCCTGCCAGGAGAGCTTGACAGGGAAGCTGGAATTCCACAAACTATTGGCTATTGCATAGACAGCTCCCAACCTGCCTGGCTGGGGAGAAAAAAAAGCCCCAACACAAGAAACAGGAAAACCCCCAAAGACTTGTAGCTGGGATTACCTTGCTCACACCTGTCACCGCTGATGTCCTCTCAAGGTCAGAATTCGAGCTACGTGAGGCCAGCTTAGAGCAAACGCCATGTGAAAGGAGCTCTATGAAGGAACAGCAGGCACTGGAAGGAGGACAGGAGTGCCCACAGGAACATGAACAACAGCTTGCAAGTTAACCTGCCCAGGACCTGGGCTGGTTCGAACAGCTCCCTCCAGGAGAAGTCTGAGCATTCCTTTTTTCTTTTCTATTACTATAGGATGGAGGACGAGGCAGTACTGGATAGAGGGGCTTCCTTCCTTAAACATGTATGTGATGAAGAAGAAGTGGAAGGTAAGAGACTCGGACTGCTGGGGAGGAAGGGTGCCTTTGCTGTGGTGTTTGTACGTAGGATGGGCAGGGAATCCTACACACACATAAAACTGAGTGAAACACGAGTAAACTTGGTCGGGGCGGAACTGGCTTTTTAAAGAAATCATCTCTTTCGGTTCAGGAGCAAATGTTGTCGCATGTGCCGGCACACGCTGCCACTGCCCCCAAAGTCCTGTTCGCTGTGTCTTGTACAGGGGCTGTGAGACACCTGAGCTGTTTGCTTTGCTTTCTTCTGGGAATAGAGTTTTGGCAACCCTTGCCTATCACTGCTGCCCTGGGGAGTGCAGGAGTACAGAGGCAGGTGGAGAAGCCAAGTGGAAAAAGCAGCAGAATTTGTACTGAGTGTTCGGTGGACATTTGCCTGGGTTATCCTCTGAGCTCGAGAGGCATAAAGAAAAGGGTTTTCCCTTGAGGGAGAACTTTTTAACAGAGCAAACAATTTCCTCACTTTTTTAGGGAAAGAGTAGACTCCTTTGGAAGTGTGGGTTTTTTCTCTCTGAAAATGTTGTGAAATCTCAAAGGTGAAAGGAATGTAAAGGAGTTTACTTTGGGGTTGTTCCTGGAAAATTCTGAAGCTGATAGGAGTGAATTATTTGCAGCAAATTCTCTTTTTCTCATTTTCTGAGGATCAGTTGACCATGGGCTTGATAAACTAGTGGGGGAGAAGGAAGGGAGCATAATAGGGTAGGACTCTACTGGAAAGGAAAGGATGTCACCTCGCAGCACTATCCTTCTCCTCCTGACTTGAAGATATAATTTATTCTAATTCCTTTATTTGCAAACAAATGCCTGTGGGTTTTAGGTTTAAAATGCTTTGAAAGGTGTAGGGTTACAGGCATGTCATTGTCACCGGTAATGGGCAGGAGAGGATCCAGCAGTAGGAGAGAAAATAATCTCCAAGAAGAGGAGTTAGAACACTTCCAGCAAACCAAGCAAGTCCTTTCCACGAAAAACCTGTTTTCTTGCTCTCTGGGATGAAGTAATCTGTGCTGAGTTGCTATAAATCATCATGTTGTATTTAATGAGGCCATTTGCTGTCTGCGGGGTCGGGTTTGTATTAGCCTTTTGCTGCTGGAATAATTGGCACTTTGGCACAGCAAAACCACTTGAGAGGGGAGAGAGGGAGAATATTTCTCATGTTTTATTGTCTTAAATGTTGCCACATGCTGTTGTGGTGTGTGTTGCCCACGTGTGACACTCCAGGAATATAATGGAAATGGTTATTGGTGACGAGGAGTGTAGGAAGGTCCTTTTGACTGTCTGCAGGGGCTGTGAAAAACTTGTGGTTAATGCAGCAGTGGTGTGTTTATATCCCATGTTCCAATGTGCATATCCTCGTTTGGTTTAGTTGGGCTAAGAGACCAGTTGCATCTCGCTGGGGGAAGGAGGAGAGGAGGTAAAACAAGTATTTCTAATTGCACACGACAGGCCTCTGGAGCTGGAGCTGCTCGGCTGAGCCTGTGGAGAGCCTCGGAGCTGTGTAGCCAGCTAATTCCCTGGAATGAATTGTAGACTCATAGCGCTCTGGCTTGGAAGGGACCTTAAAGATCATGTGATTCCCATCCCCTGCCATAGGCAGGGACACCTTCCACTGGACCAGGTTGCTCCAAGCCCCGTCCAGCCTGGCCTGGAGCGCTTCCGGGGATGGGGCAGCCACAGCTTCTCTGGGCAACCTGTGCCAGGGCCTTCCCACCCTCACAGGGAAGAATTTCTTCCTAATATCTAATCTAACCCTGCCCTCGATCAGTTTAAGATGCAGTGGAAGGGCTAACACGTCAGAGTACAGACCTTTGGCTGACACTTGGTGCAGATGCTTTTAAGTCCCTGCTAGATTCCTGCACTGCCAGTGGAGTGTTTTCAAGGAGGAGAGCATCTGTCTGGAGGCCTGGAGCCGTTAGCTCCAAAGTGCCCTTCATTACTGCCCCACTTTCATGCTGTGGTTTCAACCTGCTGTTCTAAAAGGCTTTCAGGGGCTACATCCTCTGTAGAAGGAGGTAACGGCGAGGGGAATTGTTACCTCCAGCTGTGTGTTATTTTTCTGATAGTTTATACTTTTAGCCTACTTTCATGAGGAAGCAACATACATATCCTGAAGTTGTTTGCCTCTCTTACCTCTTCTTTCCATTCTTCTCCCAAGTATTTTTTTACTATCAATCTTGATTGAATTTCTTAGGAAGGCTCTTCATTCATTTAATTTCACTGAATTTGAGTGGAGAGACTGTTTTCTTTACCCTCTGTGAGGGAAAGGGGAGTTGTAACCTTTATGAGAAGAGAGCTGATGGTGTAGCGATAGAGCAGTCGAACTTGGGGATTCCCTGGCTGCAGGAGTTTGCAGGAGAGAACAGGGAAAACCCTTCAGCAAAGCATTATAAGGTGCCTCGAAACCAAGCTGCCTTTGCTGCTTGTGAGTCGGTTTGATTCCAGACAGGTGAACGCAGAATTTTGAAGTTGTCACCTGGAGCATCCCTCTTTGGCATGTTCTTGGGGAGAAGGGAGGAACATGCCTTGCTTGGTCAGTGATGCCCTCGGGTTGTGCCTGTGGGAGGGAGACAGAAACTCTGAAAGACCACGTCACCCACTGATTTGATTATGTAACACTGCGGGGGAGAGGGAAGGACTTGGCTTTTTAAGGAGGGGGGGAAACGTGCATTTCTGGTCAGGAGGCTCTTGAGACGTTTTCAGCGTGGCACAATTGCCAAGTAAACGTAACGTTAACGGAAACTGTCCACACCTGACAGGAGTGCGGCCCTGGCACTGCTCCCGGGGGGTTTACTGCCTCTCTCAGGTGGCACCTCAGCCTGGTCCTACGCTGGAATGTGTCGCTGTGGTATCGGCTGTTGACATTTGAAAATGGCCCCCCCTACAGCCACTCCCTGCTGCCTGTCTCGGCGGGAGGGCTCCGTGACGGGTTCAGTACACATTAGTTAGGAGGAGCTGCTTTGCTGGAGGTGCCCAGAAACATGACCTGGCGAGACAAGGGGTCTGCCCAGGTCTGGGGCAGAGTGTGGAAGGAAAGCGAGCATTTCCTGGGGGAAATGAGGAAGAGGCACTGCCCTGAGCCAGGCGAGAGAACCCTTCCCATTCATTTAGAGCACTGCACGTTCCTTTCCTTGAAGGTAACGCAGTGCTGCTGTAATGCCACTGCGAGGAGTGCTGGTATGTGTGACATAAACAGATTACTTAATAACCGATTCTGCAAGAGGGGAAAAGTAAAGCTCCACCTTATCCTCTGAGATAAGGTATTCTTGGCTCTCCAAGCGTAACTTCCCCCGGGCTCGCTGCCGCCCTGACTCCGTGGTGGGGTGGAGGATGCTGGGTTTCAAGTCTGACAACTCCACTGCTGCAAAGCCCGAGGAGCACTCCAGCTCCACGTGTAGGAAACAGGGACCAGCACACCTGTCCCACCCTCCAAATGATGGGCAAAGGAAATGTTTCTATAGCATCTCTAAGATACCACTGCTATAAGAGTGAATTCAGGAAAGTATGCTGCTAGTGGAAACTTTCCCTGGATCCTGTTATCATTGTGGGATTTACTGTTGTGCTGCTAGCTCTGCAGCGAGGCTAAACCATGGATTTTGTAACAACATTCCATAACTACTTGTTCCATTTTAGCACTTTCCTCCTCCTTGCTTTCTATTCTTGACCAGGTTGTGTCATTGCACTATGCTGGTAGAAAGCTGTGTGATGCCATAAGCCCAAGATTAGTCCTTGATGGTTGGATCAATGAGGAGAGAGGTTAAAAGGGCAAAAATATCTGTGAACATCTTTACCTTTATTAGCAGTGTGCAGACAGTAGGATAAATGAGCTGTATTTACCCACTTACTTGATTTCTTTTTCTCCTCTCACCCTCAGTCTTTGATCTGTGACTGCAGGCAGACCTCCTCCATTTTCAGAAATAACCACATGATCTGTTTCATATCAGAGTTTTTAATTGCTTCTAAAATAGATATGATTAAAAAATTAATCAGGTAAAATCTGATCACAGAGTGTACTTCATTAATGTTCTTTGGTACCTTTAATTTATGTGTGGAGACAAACGAGGCTCTGTTTTGCTTTGGTAAGGCTGAGTCAGGCTTTGCTCCTGCAAAAGCCAAACGAGGAGGACACAGGCACTGCCTTTTTGCTCTCTTTCCATACAGCAGCTGGCACAACTTCCCTGTGAGGGTGGTGAGGCCCTGGCACAGGTTGCCCAGAGAAGCTGTGGCTGCCCCATCCCTGGCAGTGTCCAGGGCCAGGTTGGATGGGGCTTGGAGCAACTTGGTCTATTGGAAGGTGTCCCTGCCCATGGCAGGGGATTGGAATGAGGTGATCTTGAAGGTCCCTTCCAACCCAAACCATTCTGGAATTCTATGAACTTGGGAATGGCAGGCTCAGGTTGGGACCTAATGCTGCTCCACACAGCTAGTGAAAACAAAATGGGTGGTTTGGATCTTCTTTGAAGCATCGGGATGAAAGATTTCAGATTTTCAGATTTTTTTTTCTCTCCAGCTTTAATTCTCCATGGCACGTTGCAGGAGGCTGCTTATTCTTGGCAATGTCCAGCAGGTCATTGCATGGGGTACCATTCTGGGCACTGCCCTTGTTTGTCCTCTGCTACTAGGAATCAACCTTAGCTCTGGGGTTGCCGGGGTGGGCTGAGGAGGTGTTGATTCCTGCCTGCTCTGTGCTGGGTGAGAAAAGCTACAATCTGAGTTCAGAGGGTGATAAATGGACTTTACACAAGGCAGTGATAAGTTGGCTGTGCAGGCAGGAGAAATGGAGAGGAGCAGCCGCGTCAATAGCTGGCGTGGTGGGTCCGTGGTGAGGGAGAGGTGGTGCTTTCTTTTCAGTGATGATAAGTTTTGTGCCAACACATGCTCAGTGCGAGGTGAAGGAAGGTGTTTCCATACCTTTCTGACAGTGACTGGCTTTTTTCCAACTCCTATCGGTTTAGAATCACAGAATCATTTAACTTGGAAAA